AAAGGACTCCCTACCTTACAAATTGCGCGCTCCAACCTTCCATCGCAATCCTGTGATAGGCGACGGGTGCGGCGTGTGCGACGTCGTGTTAGGGGAGAAGTTCCCGGACCCGGGTATGAGTCGCGAAGCGTCAGCCCCGATCGTCTTGGAACTATGTGGTTAGGTCCGTGGCGACCATTGCCAGTCGTGTCAAGACCGCCACCCTACACTGATTAAAGATGGAGGGTCTTGGATGACCCGTGTTCTCGACTATTTCCATGATTGAATAGGGATTTAGGAGTATTAGGAAATCTGGCTCAAATTAGCATGGATCATACGATGGTGGAGTCACACGATCATAACTCAGTGCCATACAGATCATCCTTGCCCACCTGATGCGTTCATAGTGAGGTGAAAATTTTAAAAACTCTTCAAATGACCCCACGAAATTGGCGATTCATGGATCAAACCCCATATTTGGGAAACGTATCCTCAACACTAATCATACTTGTAGAAATTACAACCGAAATCCTATTACTAGTTAGTCGTTAATCTTCAGATCCTCCACTTGTGTCAGTACGATCGAATATTTTGACGTATGGCATCGACGGCGAAAAGGCAAAAACAAGTGCTTTTTCGAAATCGAGGGTCTGGCAAAAAATTTGGGACAGGGGAAATGAGGAGGGTACAGTCACAAGCACATGGCTATGAAAAAACGAGGGACCGTTGCCATCGTCTGTCGGTCAACGGGCTACCGTATTCTGGGTGTGGCGCGATTCATTCGTTAATATAATGAGGTCATCGGACGAGAGGCTTTATAACATCATGCTTATCATCATAACGGATAGAATAAGATCTTATTAGTAACACAAGTAAGAAAATTGTAATTGTATTATTTGTTTCTTGCACAAGGTAACACCCATGCTAAAAAATGACCAACCATGCACGTTTACTGAAGGATTGCGCTTTCTAGGATATAAAAATTTGGAGTTATTCTTTCAATCGTTTGACAAGTAAGTTGTTGACCTATGAAGTGAATTTTTGGTCTCGAAGGGGCTTCATTGTCATGGTGAAGAAATTTGCGCCAGTTCATGGTGAAGCCGTGGTCTACTGCAAGTCTTATTTGGTCCATCTCAAGTGTACTGTTGCGTGAGCGAAGAGCTCTAATGGGATTACGCGTGNTATATGTAAGTCACTTGCTGTAACTTTGTTTATCTTTCCACGATGCTCTACGTGTAAATGAATGCCTACTGATATGTGTTCTTTCTTCGTGTTCTTTAATTGAGTTNCCCCCCGTTTCCTAAGCCAGGAAAAGTGAAGATAAAAAAATAGATTTCAAAAATCCTCATGCAATTTATATATTCTTCTGGGGAGACTACTTTACTGATTCCAAATATGGTTGTGCTATGTTTATTACGTTGCTAAGGCAAACATAGTATAAAAATGGTGCCAAGAACTTATAAATAACAATCCAAATATGGTGTTACCTCAGAACAATGCCTTTCTGGGGAAGATTTTGAACAGACTCTTTTTATCCCCAAAGATATCGAAGGGGATGTTACGTGTTGCGTGGCAAGCATGGCAGTTTCTATAATGCATGGCTTTCTACAGCCCTGCCTCCTCTTCTGTTTCAGGAAAGCCTTTAAGCTTTTTTTTATTGAAGGCCTCGTGCTTCACGGATCGACACCTATAAAAGGAATCACCGGAGAACTTCCAGATCAGCAGAATAAAAGAAAAAAACGTGAAATCCGCTAAATAACTAGGTAGTTGCTCAATGCCTCCTCGCCACCACAGCTTTTCCCCATTGTGCTTTTCTTTCTAGTAATAGTTGTCTTACTTGAGAATTAGTAGATCTGGTGAGTCCCTCCTCCATTGCTTATATTAAACGGCAGTCGACCAAACAGATCCACTCGATCCGCTATTGAGCAGTTCTAAGATAGCGAAAGACCTAAAGAAGATTACACGTCCCTTCCGAGGATGCGCCATGCTTGACTCTTTTCCGTCCATTGGCAAATTGTTTGTGTTCCATAACAATATAGTCTACTAAAATGCGCCTAGGTGGCTTTCCATCGGCTTTGCTTATGCGAACTATGTATTCAAAGAAGGTGCGGGGCTCTCAGCAAGGCAGCACCTCTGTCTCCCACAAGCCGGTGGCGGCGGCGCAGAGACAACACGCTGTTACCTGTATGGTCCAAGGTACAGATCCATCCAGAATCGCCATGTTTTCCATGCCTCAGAGGTTGATAGACAAGAAAAATGAACTGGACCGGCAAAGAATTGCAGCGCCCCTGACTTGTTAATCTACTTGTGGTTCCAAGTCATTTCAATGACTTTATATGTGGGGAGCAGCTCCTTGGAGAATTGTATTGCTCCTCTGATGCAATCCAAGAACGTAAGTAGCCTGGGAATTTAGTTATTCTGCCCTTCAACTCCCCTCAACCCTTGTTATGAACTTAACTTCACGCGTACTACTACTGTCGGAGTTCCGTGGTGATGTGGATGGTAGTACCAATCCCGTCACAATCCGAATTCCTTCTAATATCGCTACCCTTTCTCTGTCCTCAGCAGTGTGGGCATCGAATGCAAGAAATACTTTTAGTTGATCATCTTGTGTTGATCCACGAACTACATGTTACATAAACAGTTGCACTTGTTCGTTCGGGGCCAATGTTTGCCTTCCCATACCGTTCCGAAACATGATAGAATCTTCCGCTACCTTCGAATGCTACAGTCGCCTTGTCCTTCATTACTTACCAGATCAGCGTGTTCTCATTCCTACAACTAGTTTGTTCTGAGAAAAATAGCAATGCAAATAAATAGAAAAACTCGCTTATCCCAAAACTGAGTGCAAGGGAGTGAGTCAATCCGACTAGCTCCGAGTTCATACGCAAGGGTAAACACTAGAACATTCACTCTCCGTGCGGGCAAAGCCGGGAAGTCACGCTGCAATGTTCAATCCTATATATGTAAGTCACTTGCTGTAACTTTGTTTATCTTTCTACGTGTAAATGAATGCCTACTGATATGTGTTCTTTCTTCGTGTTCTTTAATTGAGTTGAATTTCTGGCATAAGACTGAGGTGTTTTTAGAAGATCTGTCAAGTTGTGCCAAGACAATGTTACAAAATATCATTAGAACCTTTTTATGATTGAGCAGATTTAAAGGCACAGTGCACGATCAAAATGGTCTTTGAAGTTTCCTTATAATAAGAGTCGAGGCACCCCCTTATGCCATAGCTGCGATTGTAAGGTCGAAAAACGGCCTGGTCAGGACGCAATATGGGGACGGAGATTGTATCGTGTGGATGTCACACCCCCCGTCAGGCTGACTATGAAATCTAATTGCCGGGCATCACTATTCGCATTGGAGCAACTTTGGTGGAAAATCAATCAGCTGATCGTCGTAGCGTAGGTTATTATATTCTGGGCCATTCTCCGCCTCCTTGTGACTACTATTCTACTGAATACCTAATACCTGTTAGGGTAGCACTAAATTAGAGAAAAGCATAGAATAAAATGACCTATGCCAGGATCATAAGCTTGTTGGAAAGAATTCTGAACATTTTTTGCTTATATCTGTACGCAGTGCCAGCAAGCACTCCTTTCGAGCAACCCTTGCGCTCGGGTACGGGCTACTGTAAGAGCCGAATGCCGGGCTGAATTTTCGTTTCTGTATCATTGGGCCACAGGTTTGAAGTAAAGAAGACCACAAATTTGCAATGATAGGCGCTAAAGTCGCTCAGGTCGCTACAAAGTTTGTCGCGCGCATTTCCGGGTGCACGAATGTCCCATCCCTTCCTTGTGGTCACATTCTCGTCCAATTCCCAGTTTTAGTAC